AACTGTCCATTTAAGATTAAGCAATTAAATTTGCTTCACCTCCGAGCAACCAGTTGACTGTAAACTCAGTTTGCTTTGCATTTTTTATGCTGCCGTGACAAAAGTGAACCAGTATTTTATTTGAAAAATTAATAAATACGAAAGTAGAATTTTATATAGATGATTGATACGGAGACGATCGAATGTATCGGCGTCTTTAAATTCTTTCAAATATAAACACATTCGATGATGAGACGAAAATAAGTTCACAGTTTATGTCCTGACTTTCAGTTGCAGCAATCCAAGTCCAAGCAGATAACCTTTTACACGGACTTTTAAATTCAAGAATTAAAATATAAATCAACCTGAAATGAACGGATGTAAAACAGATGTAATAAATTCAGATTATTAATTGAAGAAACCTACATTTTGATAATCGGGTTTTTCCGCGATACGTTAAAAGATAATACAGATTAGGAAAATCTACGGACATAAACCAAAATGTTTCCAAATAAAATAAAATAAAAACCCATGTAGCACTTATTAAAGCATATTCCATTGCCTATCCCAATTCCCCACCCGCAAAACCCCATTAACCACCGTTTCCTTAAGACAAAATGCTGGGACTAGGGGTATATGAGGTGCACTACTTAAATTACTGCTGCCCACGTTTTTTTAATCAAGTAGTATCAGCGGATTTCACCCTTTCGTGTCATTGGAATAGGGTCCTTTATCGAAGCATTCGAAATAAAGAGGTATTCCTTAAATGCCCTCTTGTAAATGATCACCTTTCACTTCATTCAATCCACATTATTTAGATTCTTCATTTATAAGGTCAATTTTCATACGTAGACAACCGTGTGTAACTGTTCGACTGCCATCCGCCATCACTTACTTGTTAGAATAGTATCAACACTTACGTCTGCATAGAGATGTTAGTTTATAAATGTTTGTAATATTCCTACTGACGAGGATAAGCATTAAAGTCCACTTATTACTCAGCACGCAAATCGTAGTCTTTTTGATAGAGAAACAACTTTTAGTTTTCGTTTATATTAATGATATGTGCTGAAGAAAAGAAGTTCTTTGGCGAACGAAGTATTGCCTGATAATAATTGCCAACTCCAATTTCATTGTTTGCAAAGGTGTATGATGCATCACCACAAGTGCAGTCTTAAATTAATATCTAGTAAAACAATCCCTTACTCATTGAAGCTTGTTGAGCTCTGACAATTCCAAACCATTTAGGTTTAATTTGTGGACTATGATTCCAGAGTTCCCAGAAATACTTAAACATAAACTTTATTATCTAAGTACTAAATAAAAAAGTAATTTACAACCTATTAGCGATAAATTTCAATTGTTATTTAAAAATAAGCAGTAAGAGATTTCAATAGTTTGCAAATGTACGGTTAACCAGAATTCTGAAATATGTTTTCGATTAGAAAAGACAAAATCAGCACAGCTGTAATCGATATTATCGTGCAGATTATTCCCAAGGTATTTCAGGTAGCTCACATTTAAGTTAGCCACTTCTCGACCACCTAAAACAATTGCACATCATGAAAATAATTAATGATTGATTGATGATTTATTTTGAACACCTTCTGCATTCTAATCATACTCTATTTCTTGAATTATTCGTAGAAAATAACTTCTAGTTCAAATATCCTTTTTAAAAATAGGTTATTTTTTGGTTTAAGAAAAGATTTCGACTACCGAATTATTTTGAACTTTTTCTTCGCCTTTAACCAGGTTTTGACATCTACAAACTTTATATTTTCTATGTAAGTTACTTTAAACATATTGCTAGGCTTTTAAGAGGACGCCACATGACACTGATAAACGTTCGCAGTGAATGCGATTAATAATGTGAACTTTACAAGCAGGATAAATAAGTGGAGAGGAGCTATGTTTGCGAATGGGTTTGCAAATGAATAATTGAAAACATTTTCTGAAACCGAAAAACACCCTCTGTTCAGGTAAACCCTTTGGGACAGGCGTGGTAGGCTAACAAATGAATTCAGGAAATACTAGTCAGCATGTTTAGAGGGTATGAACAGTCATCTTGGTCTTAATGAAATCTTTTTTCATTTACCCTACCCGACTTATATAGCAGCATCACGCGAGAAAACCTTTCTAATCGAAAGTGAATTTCAGCATTTCCATCAAGGTTTCATAATATGCCACATCTACTGCATAGTCTACCTCCTGTGTATCGCCAGCAGAAAGGTCCCAATTGGCATCGAGATAAGATTATGTCCAAATATGTTCGAAATTCTACATACAGTTTGTATGAATGGTCCGCTTAAAGTAACGAGATTATCATAAACATATGTATCAGACCTAGTACATTAATGGTAAGATGATTTGCCTTCCATTTGTTTATGCAGCAAATCACCGAAGCTGATTTCACCAAATTGAAGTCCGATCAAACAACCAAATGCCCCACAATTGACTGCCCCACCCTGTACAACCTTATCAGTACATTTCATGCAGAAAATGTGAGTTCTATACTAGAATTTGTCGGTAAGCATTCAGTAAAATTTGCATTTCTGGGC